GAACTGTAACCATCACAGGAAGCACTTGGCAATAAAATACAAGTGGTTTGTGGTTTGAAGCTGTAACCACATGTGTTATAATTTGAAAGGAAAACCCCCAACTAATCAGACAACAGGAATCCACAAGCCTGTGGATTGGGGTTCATTCACCAATAGGTGGACCCTGGACCATGTTCATCCTCTTTTGGCCCAGTTCAAGATGGGCAATGATCCTCCAGTAGGACCAGTCTTCAGGTAGAGACAGGCCTCTCTGTTTTGAGTCTCTGTGTGAGGTTTGTAAGAGCCTGGGTTCTGATCCACCCTGCCTAACCCAGGCAGGACAAGCACTAGAGTATGAGGAAGACTCATTCTAATTTAGAGACCTATAACTTAGTGGGTGACAATGTTAATACTAGGCTGGCCTGCACCTACTCAAGCCCAGCTCTGCACTCATTAGCTGTATGATCTTGAACAAGTTACCTAATATCTCTGTTTTAGTTGTCTCATCTAGTGAATACACTCATTGGGTAGTTAAGAGGATTGCATTAATTAATAAACTTAAAATGTGCCTGTAATCCTAGCTACTCAGGAGGCAGAAATCAGGAGGATCGCAGTTCAAAGCCAGCCCAGGCAAAAAGTTTCTTGAGACCCTATCTTGAAAAACCCTTCACAAACATAGGGCTGGTGGAGTGGCTCAAGGCCAAGGCACTGAGTTCAAACCCCAGTACCACAAAAAAAGAATTTTTAAAAATGCTTAAAAACTACTTTGTATAATATAACTACTATATAAGTGTTTACTATCATTATTGTTATTATTATAATAACTAGTGGACAAAGCCAGAAAATAAGTTGGTAGACTATTCTAGAGTATTTCTTATCATCGGAAGTACATAAATGGAAATGGGATGGTTGCAAGATTCAGCTTTGGACTTTGAGTTTTCAGTGCTGGAGAGACATATGGCTAGACCTAGTCAGTATTATTTATTAAATTTTACTAATTTCACACACATTTACTGAGCAGCTACTCTGTGCCACATGCACATGAGGTCCTGCAGATATTGGGGTCAATCAGGTAGCCCCAGCTCTCAAGGACACGATAACCTACTAAGAATGGCAGGCAGGTATTTCCACTGTTGTGCTAAGTGCCACGACGCTAGCCCATGGGACAAGGACATGAGGTACACAGACAGCCCGAGGAGGAAAACAGGACAGGTTTCCTGGAATAGGCAGTGAGAAGCAAGGTTCTCTAGGCCACACTCAGAGTCTTGGGAGGGAGAAGGATGCAGAGTGGGAAGGCCGCTCTCGTTGGACTGTGAGTCACTAAGGACTTCAGCTTCTAGAGTAGACAGTCATTTTTCTTTGGCCCTGAATCATTTGGCCCCCACCCCTACTGATTTTTGAAAGACAATACTTGGGAGTCTTCAAGTCTAAATTTCTCTGCACACATTTTGTTGATCAAAGCTCCACGCTGATGTTTTCACCTCAACCTCTTGATCTTTTAGTTCCAGGAGGTTGAGATCTAAGTTTGCCTGGTTGAACACAGCAAAAAAGTGATGGCATTTCCTGGATTATTAAAGCCGCACAGCTAAGTCAGCAGGGTAGGACTCATTTCTGTTGCTGCAGCCTTTGTCCCAGAAAGATCTCCCCTCGGAGTGCTCCTGGCCACAGATATCCCCCTTTTGTGGATGGGTGCCAGTGATGTTTGAAATGACCACATGGAGGAGTAAAGCCCCAGGGAATCAGATGAAAAAGAAAAAGATAAAAAGCAAGCGCACACATCCCATTTATTAGATAATAAAGACAAATGTGTTCCCACTCTATCTTCTCAGGCATGAATAACCCCAGGAATGCGCTTAGACAGGAGAGTCTGTCAGGAAGCACTGACAAGCTTCTCATTCTTCTTCCTGGATCCCATTCTTACCTGCCCGATCTCTTTTAAGGCTTTGGCTAGGGCTTTCAATTCTCTCTGTTCTTTGTTGAGTCCCTCTGTTTAAGCTAGGATCAGTTGGTCTGGGAGACAAGAGAGGTACAAAGCAAAAAAATATGGATGTCGTCACAGGTTTTCCCCAAGACTGAGTGGGGAGAGGTAAGAATACATCCATTGGTTTATTTTCCTTGCCTGTTTTCCTTTTGTGCCCCTACAGGATGACTCATGCTGTTTGCTCTGGGCCAGCCCTACAGCCTCTGCCACTCTGTGGGATACACAGATCTGGACATGCTCTCTTCCTTTAAAGAGGGAGTCTCGTTTAGCTTGCTTGAAGCATCAGCTCACAATTCAGACCCAATTACACGAAACTCACCAACAAAGGTCTCTACCACAAAGAAGAGGGTGTTGCCAAGCAAAAGAAGAGTAAGAGGTTGTCAAGAGTTACAAATCACAGGGCCTGTGTGGCATCTGAGCTGTGCCCAATGTCCTGATGTGTTCAGGATGGAATGTTTTGTTAGGAAGAGAGTTCTGGGGACTGAATACCCTTACGAGGGTACTTTGAGCTGGGTGCCAGTGGCTCACACCACTAGCTAGTAATCCTACTCAGGAAGATCATAGTTCAAAACCAGCTTGGGCAAATAGTTCTCAGGGCCCTACCTCAAAAATATTCAACACAAAAAAGGGCTGGTGGAGTGATTCAACTGGTAAGAATCCCTTCCTGGCAAGCATGAGGCCCTCAGTTCAAACTTCAGTACCACCAAAAAAAAAAAAAAAAGAGAGAAGGTACTCGGGGGAAGGCTGTCACCCTGACTTCCAGAGTCACTGTAAAGGCTCAGAGACTTAGAGTGGTGTTGAGTCTATAAAGGTCACCTAAGGGGCTGGCATGCTACAAGGTTTGCTGCCCACTCAATTTCGCTGGGGTTTCCATAAACCTGATGCTCTGAGCCCCCTCTGGCCTGTGATATCAGAACCTCTGGGTGTGGGCCTGAGCATCGCTGTTGTTAAACTTCCCAGGTGCTTCAATGTTCAGCTTTTTGAGAATCTGTGATTTGAGTGTGTATTATTCAAAATGGAGTCTATAGAGCTGTGGAACCTGCAGGGGGCTTTCTAGAAATGTGCATTCTCAGGTCCCACCACAGATCTACTGAGTCAGAATCGACATTTTATCAAAATCATTAGGTGATTGGATATGCATTAAAAATTGAGTGACTTTTCTTGAAAGCTTGGATCATGTGGCAACAATGGGCTCAAGCTCTCTCTCTCTCTGCCTCTTTAAGAGGGACCTTCACATTCTAGTTTACCAGAGTTTCACACCTAGACAAGTTAATTATTTTTCATTAGTGACAAGTGGCTTCTTTCACTTAGCATAATGCTTTCAAAGTCCACCCATGATGTAGCATGTATTAGTACTCCATTATTTTTCAGGACTGAGTGATACTCCATTTTATGCATCTACTTGTTGAATATTTGGGTAGTTTTCAACTTTGGTTATTATGAATAGTGCCACTCTTAACATTTGTATGCAAGTTCTTGTTTGAGCACCTGTTTTTAATTTGCTTGGGTAGGTAACCAGGAGTGGAATTGCTGACTCATATGGTAAATGTGTGTTTGACTTTTTCGCAGTGACTGCACCCATTTTACATTCCCACCAGCAATGTCAATGATTCCAATCTTTCCACATTTTCACCAACACTTTCCATTTAAGTTTTTTTAATTCTAGCCATACTAGTGAGTATGAGATGGTTTCTCACTGTGCTTTGGTTTGCATTTCCCTAATGACTAATGCTGAGAACTTCTTTGTGTGTTTATTGGACATCTGTATGTATGCTTTGGAGAAATGTCTAAGTCCTTTACTCATTTTTAAATTTAAATTGGTTTGTCTTTTTATTGTTGAGTTGAAACAGTTATTCATATGTTCTGGATACTAGACCTGTGTCAGATCTAATTTGCAAATATTTCCTTCCATCCTAAGGGTCAACTTTCTTGATAGTGCTCTTTGATGAACAGAAATTTTTACTTTTGATGAAATCTGATTTTTGTTTGTTTGTTTGTTGCTTGTGCTTTTGGTGTCATGAGATTTGAGACTTTTTCACACGGACAGATCAGTGGATAGAGAGGAAGAGAGACCTGAGGACAAAAGCAGTGGGATCAATTGAATTTTTTTATCTTCAATTCAGCCAGAAGACCTCAACATGTTATCTGCTTTTTACAAGGTTCTGCAGCTTTATACATATACATTTAAAATTTTGTGTGTATGTATATATATATAGCCAGTAGATTAGAACTACTGGGTTGTACTTCTCAAATATGAACCATTGATATTAGTGGGAATTTCAGTGTGTTGGGTTGGTCTTTCTAAAAACTACTCCAAAATGGTGTATGCAGAGATATAGAACTTAATATTTTCTGGTTTTAACTATGTTTCATGTAATAAAGAAGAACCAAACATTTTTGAAAAAGCAGTTTTTTGCTCCACTGACACTTTTGTGAAGTTAGGCTATTTTGCCCCAATTCAAATCTACCTATCTGGCAGCAGCTCATCCACACTGAGGGAACATATTACATGGAAAAGATCGTCAACCTAGCTTTGGTACCAGCTACTGCATTTGCCAAGGTCACACAGCAAATAAAGTTTGAGGCCAGGTCTTCTTATTTCAAGCCTAAGACTCTGTTCCTTAGGCCATGTGCCCAACATTGGTCTCTGTGATTGTCACCACCATTTGAAGCTTTCCGTGTGCCAGGCATTGTGCACATGTAATCTTCCCAACGAACCAGGAGGTGGTTTCATAATCACCATTTTACACAGAAGACAAGGAACTCTAAATAGTGTGCCCAAGATCACACAGATTGTGTGTAAGAGCTAGGTACAAAGCCCATAGTCAGAACCACTAATTGAAACTCTTGTTTTAAAACATGGCTATGTCCTGAAAAATGACCTCAATACCAACCCTTGGTCTAGCTTACAAGTGAGCAGGTGACAACACCCAGCTACTGCGCATGCGCCCACCCACCGCCCTTTTTTCCGCCCCGCCCCCTCTGCGGCGCAGGCGCACTCGCACTCTAGAGCCGCTACGCAGTGGAGCACTAGGGCGGTTCTGGGAACGCGGCCGAATTATGGGCGCACGATGCGCGTGCGCGGGGCTGGAGCCGCTGACCGTGGAGCTGGGTGGCGATGGCAGCGGCGGAGCAGGCCTCGTCGGGGCCAGCGGCTTCCGAACCGCCCACGGAGCTGCCTGCGTCCGTACGCGCGAGCATCGAGCGGAAGCGGCAGCGGGCGCTGATGCTGCGCCAGGCCCGGCTGGCGGCCCGGCCTTACCCGGCGATGGCGGCTGCGGCCACTGGAGGTTTGGACCCGGCGGCGCCTTCCCTTTCCCTCTTCCGGTCTCTCGGGTCCCCAGATGGGCTCGCGCGGCCAGGTCCGCCCACGTCCGCGGGGAAGCCACCGCGCGGGCCTGGCTGGGGCGTCCAGTGTGCTAGAACCCAGGCTCCTGACTCCAGCCCCACCTTGCTATCCAGCCTTGGGCTTCGGTTTGGGGGTACAGCTCCCCACCCCCACTCCCCGGGAGGTGCCTGCTATGCCAGCTTCAGACCTTACCTTTCTGTCCCCTTCTTGCTGTGCCTCCACCACCTACCACGATGATCCTCCTATTCAGCTGCTAGACCTGTAATCCTTTAAAATAGGAAACCTGCACCTGCGCTCTTCATCCATTCAACCCAAAGCACCAGCCACTGCCCTCGCTTTCACATGATCTGATTGGATTCTCCATACACTCAGCCCTTTTGCTTTAGGTTTGTTTTCCATATAGGGTCTCTTACTTTTGCCCCGGCCACCCTCAGAACTTGATCCTCCTACCTCTACTTCACGAGTAGCTGGGATTACAGCATGTACCACCAAACTCGGCTTTCACATTTGGGTAAAAGGTGGGACTGCTTCTACCCTCCACTGTTGTCTCTCTTACATCTCTTTCTGTCTCATTAAAATGATCCTTAGTGACTATTAAACAGAAACCCTTATATTTCACAGCAGTATACATTTTAAATATTACTTTTATAGTTGCGGTTGAATTTATGTTGCTACTGACCAGAAGCTCTCCTGGAGAAGCTGCTTGTAACTAAAGCAGGTTTAGGGAAGTTTTCCAGGTCATATGAAAATCCATATATTTATGAAACACTTTATAATGTAAAGCACTTTTTGTTCTCTTCCTTGATCACAATGCAGACCTCGAGAGTTAGGTACATCCAGACTCCCATCATCCATATAGGCACAGGGCCATTAAAAATGTTCTCCCTCCACCCTACTAGCAATATCCAAAGCCAGACAGGTCCTGTCAACTTGTCACAGCCTGGCAAGTATAGAGAAAGTGAAGAGTTCCAACTCCAAGTAGACCACAAGGAAGTTAGAAAATAATGTAGGGTGGGGCAAGATCAAGTGTCACATGTTGGGTGAGTCAGCTGTTGAGATCTTGCCCTTTAGGAGCAAATGAGTCTGTGTATCCTGTTTCCTGCACCCCATCCAGAGTCCTGGAAAGGCTTTTGCACTTGAGAGAACTTATACATTAAGAATTCGAACTCTTTGCTTGCTAACGCGTTTTACAGTTTCCCAACCTTAAATTGCTGTTACCATGAATCACTTATCTTAGGATCACTTCTCCTACCTCAGATCCTCAAGGCAGTTCTTGAATAGACATTTTCTCAGTTAGGCTTATCCTATTCACCCACTGTTAGTTCTGGTTAAAATAGTCCTTTTAAAGTGATTTTGACAGTGTCTAGTATAAAGTTAGCATTTGGTAAATGTTAGGTATGATTTGTATCATTTATTTATTATAGGCTGATTTTTCTGTCATAGGCATGATTTTCTATCAGGCTGGCTTGCTGTCTACCTGTCTTCCTCAATTTTTGGTGCAGAAGCGAGGTAACAGCAGGCCTGAGAGAGCAATCAGCAGAAAGGCCTGCTTCGAGGGTTGGCCATTAGCTGGTATCTGGGAACTTGGACTTTGGAGAGTTCCCTCTAGTCCCTAACTGATGGTTTACTGTATAAACAATGTGGTTTGTGCAAAGTACCTGCTTAGGCCTCCGGGAGTCTGGAGTTTTGGGTGCCAGCAGTGTGGTGCACCTCAACTCCGTGAGGAAGGAAATTGCCCCATATGGCACCCTTTCAGACCTCACCTTGCCCAAAGTAGTTTTTCATCTGTAGCCTTTAAAATAGCCTTTGCAATAAATGGGTAAATGAAAGTGAAGAGTTTTCCTGACTTCTGTGTGTTGCCATAGGAAATTAACTGAACCCAAGAGAGAAGTAATGGGAATCCCAGTTTATAGCATGCTAGTCAAAGCACTTGGGGCTTGCAGTCAGCATCCTAAACGAGGCAGTCTTGGGGACTCAGCCTCATCCTGTGGGATCTAACTCCAGGTAGGTAGCGTCAGAATTGAATTGAGTTATAAGACACCCAGGTGGTGTCTACTAGAGAATTGTTAGGTAGGTGAGGGGATCAGAAGTGTTGTGTTGTGTGTTGTGTGTCTTGTGTCTGAGAAGAGCTAAACCTCAGATGTACCTGGGAGTTCAGAGAGACCTGAGCTTTGCTTTGGACTTGTCGTAGCCACAGGAGTGATCCTGGCTTTCATTTAGAGAACAACTCACTTCCTCCTCTAAATAGCAAGTGGATGGGTCAGATGCTTTCCGAGGTTCTAGCTAAGTCCCAAATAGTCACTTTTGCATAAAGATTCATTTACACTAGTTAATTCATATTCGTTGCTTTGTAAGGATTTCTTGATCTGTACCTCATGCAAAATAGAGCAAAACTGGCATTAAACTTCCGTTCTGATCGTGGAAATGAATATGAATTCCAAGTAGATTTCTTGGACAGTTCAGCAGGAACTTAATTGTGTTGAAGCAGTGGCTTCAACCCACCGTGTTTCAAGAGCGGTACAGGGGCTGACATTTTTGCTTTGCAGCAATTTTATTTCAATGTGCTATGCAGTTTTCATTTTCTCTGTGTGCTATGACATGCCGTGAAAAAGACAGAACTCTCCTAGACAGTGGCACTGAACCCCTCTGGAAGGAGCAAGATGTAGCCGCAGAGAGAAACTGGACTTTGTTTAGAAATGATTTGGCATTGTTCAGAATTCTGCTCGAGTCGTGGTCCTGCCCACTCCACCTTCTCTTCTTGATTCACATTGCACTTACGGTCATTCCATTCATTCTTTAATATTCCTTAAATTAAAATTATTTACATTCATCCATTACTCACCCAGTGGGTGCTCACGGAATGCTTACTGTATCAGAATATCAGGTAACGGCACTCAGTCTGATGGAAGAATTTGAGAGCTGAGCAGGCAATAGAGTATAATGTGAGAGTTGCTAGTAAGAGTGGAAACAGACTTACTGTAACTGACTCTTCATTTAATAGGGGAAGAAATTGAGACCAGAAAAGGGGAGTGACTTTTTAAAAAATTGAGGTATCATACATTAACATGTAAAAGGCACTCTTTCAAATTTTACCTGTGTAAATGCTCGTGTGAACACCACAGCAATGAAGATACACTGTAGAGCCTTAGATGTTTCCCTGTTGCTTCTTTCCCAGAAGTAACTCCTGTTCTGATCATTTGATCAGTTACACACGCGCGCACACACACACACACACACACACACACACGTATGTATGTATGTATGTATGAACTCAGGGCCTTTTGCTTGCTAGGTACGTTCTCTACTTCTTGAGCCCTGCCTCTAGCCCATCTTACAGAGTCTGGCTTTTTTTGCCCAATATAATATCTAAAAGATTCAGCCATTTGTGTTAGTAGTTTCTTCATTTACACGTGTTTAATATTCTTTTGTATTATACCACAGGTTCTCCATTTTCCTTTTGATGGATGTTTGGTTGTTCCAGTTTGCAAGAGTGAATTATTGCTGTTAGCCATCTTGTATGTCTTTGGTGGACACTTGCACTTAAGTCTATGGTGTGTATGCCTAGAGATGGAATTGTTGGCTCATAGAGGGGTGTATGTTCAGCTTCGGTAGAGATCACCAAACAGTGGTTTTGTCAGTTTACTCTGGCACCAGTAAAGTATGGCAGTCTGGTTGCTGCACAGCCTCAGCCTGGGGTGTGGTCAGTCCTTTTCATGTAGACCTTCTGGTGGGAGCATGGCGTTAGTCACGTTGTTAATACTTGTTTTTCCAGTGGTTAATGATGGTGAGAACTGGCTACATCTTACTGCCCACTTGGATGTCCTCTCTTGTGAAGTGCCTATTCAAATCTTTTGCCTTTTTTGAAAGTTGGGTTATTTGTTTTATACTGATTTAGAAGATTTCATTGTATAATCTCGATATGAGTCCTTTGTCAGATAGACAATTTCCTCTCAGTTTGCTTTCTGTTCTCAGAGTGGCATTTTCATGAAGAGAAGGTCTTAATTTCAGTATAGCATTTTTTTCTCTTAAGTTAATACTTTCTGGGTCTGTTTAAGAAGCGTTGGCCATCTTGAGTTCATGAAATTTCTCTCCCATGTTTTGCTGTTGGTGCTTTCACACTCAAGACTATTATCTATTGTAAAGTTTTCATGTGTATTATATGAAGCAGAGTCCAAGTTCATTTATTGAGAAGACCCTCTTTTCCTGAGTGTGCTGTAAGATCCCAACACCATTTAGTGAAAAGATCTTTTTTTTCCCACCGAATTGCCCTGGAGCCTTTGTTGACAGTGACCAAATATGTGTAGGTGCACTTCAGGACTTTCTCTTCTGCCTCTTTATTTTGTGCCAATACCTCAGTGTCTTAATTACTAAAGGTTTCAGGTAAGTCTTTAATCTAGTCATTTAAATCTTCCAGTTTTCTCAAGATTATCTTGGCTAGTCTAGGTTCTTCTCCATACATATAAATGTGGGAATCAGATTATCAGTACATGCCTCACTGCTGGGGGTTTTGACTTGCAAGTACCTTGACTCTTTAGATAAATTTGGGGAGAACTGACATTTTTATAATATTGAGACTTAAAATCCATTGTGGCTTATTTTTCCATTTATTTATATTCTCTTTGATTTCTGTTAGTGTTTTGTAGTTTTCAGTGTAGAGGTTTTATGCATCTTCCTTATTAACGTTATTTCTGATTCTATTTGTAGATTCTTATGAATGTTTTACATATCCAGTCACATCCTCCATGAATAAATACCACTTCCTTCTTTCTCACCTTCATGCCTTTTTGGTTTTCTGGCCATATTGTACCAGCAGCAGCATTTAGTACCGTGAAGTCTAGAAGTGGTGACACAGACATCCTTGTCTTGTGTGATATCTGTCAAATTTAGAGAAAGTTTCTGTTTCTGCACAAAGGAACAGATGAGCTTCCCAACTTTAATTGATGACCACTTTTCATTTTCTTTTTGTAGGCGTGGCTAATTTAAAAACAGCCCCCAAAATAATTGACACAGAAGGAGGCTTCATTTTGGAAGAGGAAGAAGAAGAAGAACATAAAACTAGAAATGTTGTTCATCAGCCAGGTAAAGTGTGAGTTTTTCAGAAAATCAGTATCTAGATTGACTGTCCTGAATAATGTGTAATTCTTTGGAAATTGATGTCAATACACAGCTACTTTGTTCAGTGAGTGATATTAAAAGTGATAATATTTGGCAGTTCTGCTAGTAGATTAAAATAAATCAAATGCCCATAAATGTGGAAATGATTATTCAACTTGTGGTTTGGTTACTAAGTGTTGATGTTCTCTGTTGTTTTATAATAAGCATGGTTGGGTAGAGTAAATACTTAAATTTATCTTCATAAGCTGGGCATGGTGGTGCATGCCTGTAATCCCAGCTACTTGGGAGGCTGAGGCAGGAGAATTGCTTGAACCCAGGAGTTTGAGACCAGCCTGGGCAACATAGTGAGATTCCATCTCAAAAAACAAAAGTCATCTTGTTAGGCTAAAATGAGGTGCCAGAACTCAAGAGATCAAATTAAGGACACTCTTTTATTTATGTTTGGAGGAAAAAAAGCAGTTTACAAACTAGAAGACAGGGAGACCTGTGGCATAAAAGAAGGGTTTCGTTTATTATCTAAACTTCATACTTTGGTCAGTCCATTATATATACACGTATCCTCAGGGTGAGGAGACTTGTGCGCTTAAAAAACACCTGCAGCAATGGAAGCGTGTTCACTGACGTAAGCTGTAGCCTTGTCCTTCGCTGTGTGTCTAAGCTATTGCTTTCAGATGCTGAGCATTCAAGGGTTAAACTATTTGAACTTACTTTGGGTATGTTATTGTAAGAAGGATTTGGCAAGTGTATAGTCTCCAAAATAAGGTGGCCAGATGGAGGTCTTGAAGTTTAAGTGAGGGACAGTTATTAGGCTTAACCTGGACTATGCTTCGAGCACCTGTGATACAAGAAGATGAGAGATTACGTTTACTGTGATTTTCTCTAGCAGGCAGAACTTGAAACTGTGGGGGACAATTTCAGAGTGGCAGATTCAGCGCAGTGTAATGTAGGTATACCTTACGTATACTTAGCACTTGGCACTTGCAGATTTGGTACACATGTCATGTGAACCTCACAGTGACTCTGAAATGCAGAAACTTCCTAGCCATGACGACTGCTGCCTCCTAACAGTAAGCATCAGAGGATGACCAAGACCACCTCACCACAGCACTGTGGAGGAGCAGCCCTGCATCAGGAGGGGCACGTTGAATTCAGTGACCTTTAAGTCCCTGTCATTTTGTGGATATGAAAACGCATTATAACTGTGTTTTTGTAGATTCCTGAGTCTACCATGGGCTGTAAAGCCTATGCTTTCATTTAATAGGTTATTAAACAAATATTTATTGAGAGCTTTCTGGCATACCTTGCTATTTGACTGAGACATGCATGTGGCATTACTGTTACTCTTGCATTGATGTGCTGCTGCTTGCCCATACAACTATACTAACAGTGAATTAGTACACAGTAGACAAGTTGTCCCCTTTGGATTACAGACTAGCAAAAGTTCCCCTTTCTCTGGGCTGACATAGCCTGGGCAAAGGCTCTTGGCTTAACAAGTGGTGGTGAGTGAAGAAAGATTACTGGGCTCCATCCCTGTAATTTATTTTAATTTATTTCTGAGCAGTTCTAGATGCTGCTGCTACTGCTGACCCAGAGGCCACAGCTTTGGTTTAGAAGACTAAATACTGTTATGGATTGCGACTATATGAGAGGACAGTGTATAACAGTGAGGGAGATCACTGTTCATGTAGTCTTCTCTCCCTCCCTTTCCGTCTTCCTCCCTCTCTCCCTCTGTCTCCCTCCCCCACACTCTGTTTTTTTGGTGGTACTTGGGACTGAACTCAGGGCTTCATGCTTGCTGGACAAACACTCAACCACTGAGCTTCATCCCCAGTACTGTTTTTCTTATTTTTAATGATAGGAACAAAAAAATCTAAAAACTGAAGCTTTTGGAAGAACATTCCACTTGTTCTTGCCGGTTTTATACCTCTTGTTGAACTTGACCTTGGCCTTCTGACTAGCCTTGTGTTTTAAGAGCTGGGTCTCTGAAGACATCCTTCCTTGTTGAGGACATTTTGTCCAAGGGATTGTCCACAGAGTACTGTGTGGGCATAAGGTGATTGTAGTTAAACATTCACAAAAGACTTGATCTTTGACCTCTTGGTGATTTTCTTCTTGCTCATGGCACCTGTCACTTTGCGGGGATAGCGGTGGATTCCAGCTGACAGAGCATGGCTGTGTTGGCCATGGACTGAGGTGACTTCATCATTGTTCTTCATGATGGTGGCTTTGTGTCCAGAGTTGCATCCAGCCAGGATCAGCACCACTTTTCCAGGCTTCACAACTTGTTCATTTCATAGCAGCCAGGAGGTCCACAGTAGAAAAATCATGTTGTCTTTTAAAAAAAATTGTAGTAAAATATAGACAACATAAAATTTTACTACTTAGGGCAGCCATGTTAAAATCTACACTTCAGTGGCATTAAGTGTGTTCACATTCACATTGTTGCACAGCTTTTACCACCATCTGTTGCCAGAAGTGTTTCATCTTCCCAGACTAACTCTACCCAGTAAACACTAACTAACTTTTTGATATATTTTCTTTGGGGTTATTTTTAATATGTAAATGAAAATGTACTCTTTTTCTTTTATAAAAATATTGAGAGTGTTTTATCATTTCTTAAATAGTCTTTAAGAGCTTGCTTTTTAATGGCTATATACTATTCCGATTTATGGTTGTATCATGGGTCATTTAAAATCAGCCCATTTTGTTTATTTTCTGAATTCTAATAATTATTGCTACAGTGGATATCCTTGGCGGTTAACTTGCCCAGTTCCCTGATTCATAGCAGTAGAGTAACTGATTCAAAAAGTATGTACATTTCTGATAAGGTTTTACATATTTTCAGAAAAGGTTAACAACAGGAGGCAGAGGTCAGGAAGATCGAGATTCAAAGCCAGTCCAGGCAAATAGTTCCACAAGACCCTATCTTGAAAAACCCATTGTAAAAAAGGGCTGGTGGAGTGGCTCAAGGTGTAGGCCCTGAGTTGAAGCCCTAGTACCACCAAAAAAAAAAAAGTTAACAAAAACGGGAAGACTAAAAAAACCTAAAAGCAAATAACCTCTTTTTCCAAATGAATGACATAAACATGCTACAGGGGAGGAGCAGGCAGGAAGAACTAGTCCAGGTAATTTTGTGTTCGCACAGAGTGCTTGGAAGCAAAGATGCCCTAATAACAGTGAGCACTCTTGGACACTAATAGCATTTCTCATTAAAAGGAGCCAGGACTGTTCAGATCAGTGACTGATTCTGGGACTGGGACACATGGTTTGGATCATCTTGTATTGCCAGGAAATATGTAAGTTTTCAAAACTGATGGAGGTATGTTACAGGGATAGAGGAGGTACTGGCTAAATCTGAGAAGTGTGAACACCGTAGGAGTGCCTAAGCCTATAATGGTAGTAAGTAGCCCCATAAGTGAATGAATCAAAGAATAAGTGCATGGGAAGAGGAAAGGCTCTTGTTTGCAGTGCACCGCAGACAGCGGTAAGCGTAAAAGGGACGATGAGGTGGAACATCTCCCTGTGCATATTAAAAATTCCTGTTACGAAGACTTCCAATTTAGGAAACAGTATGCACATTTTATGGCCTTTGAACAATAATGCTATATTGTATCCTCCTAATTGGTATTTCTGACTAGGTTTTCTTTATTCTAACACATCCGACTAAATTTTTTAAAGATATTACTAGCCCTGTTCCAAAATGTTTATAGTTTTCCCTTTTTTTTCTATAGCTATGCAGCTCTGTGCTTTTATTTTATAAAGAAGAGTGATTTTTTTTTTTTTTGGTGGTATTGGGTTTTGAACTCAAGATCTGGTGCTTGCTAGGCAGGCAGTCTACCACCTGAGCCATGTCCCAAGGCCCTCCCTTTTTTTTTTTCCTTTTGTTTTAGTCATTTTTCAAATAGGGCTTGAAAAATTTGTGCATTTATGCCTGGCAGGCCTGACCACTATCCTCCCATTTATGCTTCCCACGTGGCTGGGATGACAGGTATACGCCACTATGCCCAGATTTTTAATTGGTCAAGATGCATGCTTGCTAACTGTTTGCCCTGGCTGGGCAAACAGCTAGCCTCCTTATCTCCATGTCTGGAGTAAGAGTGATTTTTTTTTTTTTTTTAAGAGTCTGGAAATTAGTGGGACTAAAGAGTTGTGGGATGTGAACAGACCTTTTTGTTTTAGAGGTGGTAAGGGAAGGCATGGATAGAAGTATGTAGAACAAATGGTGAACAAGTGACAACTCTTAGTCTTCCTGTTGGAAACTGTAGCAGTTCTCAGAGTTGGGGCTTCTCAGTGTAGTCGTTCTAGTCTTTCTAGTGAAGATTAGGCTTGCTGGGAGAATCTGTTCTTACAGGATTAAGATCCTTAGCAAGGCATTTGAAGTCCATAAAGAAATACAGCTTTTACCTTACCTAGAGAAGTTTCTCTGTTGAGTACTGAGGATGCAAGGCTCAGTGGATCTTTCCGCTAAAGTTGTTTATAATCCAGTACGTGAGACAGATAAAGAGGAAGCTGTTGGCTCTGTTGGTAAGGAGTAATTTTCCCATTTGGAAATGAATTCTGTATTGATTGTCTTCTGTTGTTGCCTTACTCTTTTGCTCTTGATCATGTTGTATGTTGGTGTCCTATCTTTCCCAACTAAGCAGATCCTTCCTCTCCCTCTTACCCAAGGACCAATCTCCTTTGTACTTTTGACAGTACCATAGCAGGCAGAGTAATGGCTGCAAAGATGCCCATACCTGTACTGCCCTAGAGCCTGTGAATATGTTACAGTACTGTAGCAAAGGAGACTTTGCAGATATGATTTAAAATTACAAACCTCGAGATAGGCTGATTATCTTGGGTAATCCACATGGGCCCAATGTAATTGAGGCTTCCTTAAGGTCATGTGATTATGGAAGAAGTGAGTGATGCCCATGTGAGAGGTGTTGCTTGTCCTGAGGTGGAGGAGGGGTCTTGAGTCAAGGGATGCAGGCGGCCTCTAAGAGCTGGACATGTTTTGCCCTGGAGTCTCCAGAAAGGAATGCAGCTTACACACAACTTCACTTTGGCCCACTGAGCCTCACCAGACTGCTAAACTACACTGTAAGATGGTGGGTGTTGTTTTAAGCCACTCAACTTGTGATTTCTTACAGCAGCAATGGCACACTAACACAGTATTGTGCACAAGATTGGGGCTCAGAACTACTTGTTGAACTGATAGCTTTTTTTCCCTTTATGTTACTTCTTCTTTTTAGATAAACATGATTATTTAATCAGGGCTTTATTTTTTTCATAGATACTTGCGTCTGGCTTAAAGTACATGATGATAAGCTAACAAAATAGAGGAAAATATATATTGTTCTAGTTGCAAAAAAGGAAACATAAAGAGTTCATCTTCCTTTCTATAGGGCCTGTTATGGAATTTGATTATGTAATCTGTGAAGAATGTGGGAAGGAATTCATGGATTCTTATCTTATGAACCACTTCGATTTGGCAACTTGTGATAACTGCAGGTACTTATTGCATTGCAGAGTGGTTTTGTTTTGATTTATAGTGTTGGGAATTGAACCCAGGGCCTCACCTATGATAGGCAAGCACTTTACCACTGAGTTACATGTCCAGCCCTTTTTTACCTTATTTTGAGATAGGGTCTCACTAAATTGTCCAGGCTAGCATCAAACTTATGGTCCTTCTGTGTTAGCCTGCTGAGTAGCTGGGATTACAGACCAGATGGTATTAGTAATTGTTAAAATTTAATACTTGTATCTAGGTTTCGGGCAAAGTAATGGTTATATTTGTTTGGATTTGATATTTTATGTGCAATTTGTAATTATGATTTTTATCTTGAAGGGTTCAAAATATTTCTATGGTTCCCATTTTGCCAAAGAAATACAGAAAGTCTGTTTATAATATTCCCTATAAAAGAGAGGATGTCCCTGGTTCTGCCATAGAAATTTCTTTTCCATTGCTCTGGGTCCCTTCCCCCACTTTTCCCTCCATCTCTCTCAGTAGCAGATTTCTAACCCTATTTTTCACCCAGCCCTAAGGATCCCCCTGTTTCTTACTTATCCCAGTCTACAGGCACCTTCAGAGGACCTTCAGTGAGTGGAGGGGAAATTAAGAATAACTCTTTTCATTCACCTTTTTGCTCCCCTCATAAAGAGAATAGATGAGGAAAAATCATATTCTTATCTTTTTTTTTCTTCCAGCCTCTATCCTTACATGTTTATTTATTTTTACAGTAGCAGGGACCAAATTCGGGTCTTTGCATATGCTAAGAATGTACTGTAGCACTGAGCCCTTGGTGGTGGTGTTGGTGTTGAGGTTTGAATTCAAGGCCTTGTACTTGCTAGGCAGGTGCTCTACCACTTGAGCCACTCTGCCAGTCCAAGCCCTTGGTGTTTTAAGACAGGGTCTTGCTGTGAAGCTGTGGCTGACCTTGAACTCCAGATTCTCTTGCCTCCACTTCCCAAGTGCTGCGATAACAGGTGTATACCTCCATGCTCAGAATTGTCTTTTTATATGACCTTAAAATCATCCGTGTCACTCCCCATAGTTCTCCTGTCCTCCTGTTTACTCAACCAAGTCCTGTGTTGGTGGCCTTCGCACACTGAAGGCCCAATCTTGGAATCTTTTGTTCTTCTTAACCATTCCCTGCTCCTGCTTTGTTCCTGGCCTTAGATATCTCCTCCCTCTCCTAGAGGACCCACTTGTGAAAGTCCTTGCTGCAGACATTGGGAGCTGTCATCACTGGCTTGTTGCTGAGCAGAATCCTCAGTGGACAGGGAGTGGAAGCTGATGTCCCTGGTCTCATGATCAGCTTGTGGCTGGACATGTCCTGGAGCTCCAGCCAGATTGTTCAATCATAAGTTCACTTCCCACGGATGAAGTGCTGAGGTTCACAGCGTTACCACTGTCCTTTAAGGCCACTATTCCATCTTTGGGTACTGAAGCACCACATACATTTTTATTTCCATGAGAAAATGGAAGCAATTGCTACATCAGTTTAAAGAAAGTTGTGTATTAGTCTGGAAAATACTCTTGTTTAAAGGGAAATCACAGAGGAGGTTTGCAATGTCCATGACAGAAGCAAGCTTTTTTAGCTTTGGAACTTTAAGTTTGCCTTAGTTTTGGATGTAAATTCTAGTAGTTCTCATTTGTAATAAACACACTGAAGAAAAAAAAGAAACATAGTCCTCCATTCTTTTTCTTTTCAACATCTTTGAATATTATGATTTTAGTAGAATAGTCTACATATCCATTACCCTTTATTTACACTTCCAGATTACTTAACTTTCTTAAAGTTAGTCCCAGTTTTAGATAGGTTTTGTGAGAGTCCTGATACAACCTTTGATTTCTCTTTCCTGACCTATACTTTGTTCACTGACTGTCTCTACTGCATGTTTAATTCCACATCTGTTTGGCTGTGTTCAAACTATATTTTGAATCTTCTATTTCTCACCTCTCCCCACTTCTCCCTTGGTCTAGGCCACCATCAGAGCTTGGGTGGAACACTGTCTTCTAATTGGTCTCTGCTCAGCCTTCCCCTGTGCACCTCTAGAATCTCCTCTCCGTGTCGCATTTTGTCCAAAACTATCTCACTTAGAATGATTGTCTTCACCACGGCTTCCGAGGCTCTTGCAGGCCTCTGACTTTACCTCCATCTCTGCTCACCATCCCTTCTGTAAGCACCCATGCCCTTTTTCTGAGCTGCAGATGCAGAGTCCACCAGCCCTAGAGCTCTGCGCTCATAGTTCCTTCTGCTAGGTTTTCAGGCTGTTGACTTCCTCAGAGTGCTCACTTGTCCCCTCATCACTAGCCTTCTCTCATTGCTCTTCTGACTGAAGGTTTCTGTTCCTTCACTCTGCTTTGTATTCTTACAGCTCTTTTATCTGTCATCATTATGTTTATTGACTGTCTTCTAACTAGAACACAAGTCTCACGAAAGCAAGGCTTCAGTTTACTCCTAATTAAAGCAAGGTTGTATTCCGAGTGCCTTGCATGGTACTTGGTTTGTAGATGAAGAACAAATGGATGAGAACTGTGCATTGACTCTGTTTCTATTCTTACCTTGGTTTTGAGAGCACCAGGAACCAGCTGGAAATGAAGCTGCGATGACGAGATTCAGACTTACTTGTTACATTCCTTACTGCTTGCCCATCTTGACCTTATGATTTAATTTACATTTTCTTTCACATTGAGTCTTTTTCTCATTTATATTTTCTCCCCATTTATAACTCATTTCAAATTCCTTCTGGAATAGAATAAGAGGGATTTACATTTTTTTTTTTTTTTTGGTGGTATTGGGGTGTAAACTTAGGACTTAATGATTGCAAGGCAGGCGCTCTACCGCAGCCATGCCCCCAGCTCAAGAAATTTTTGTGTTAAGGGCCGGCTGCTAATGTAACTTCTTAGAGTAAGGAAAAGGTGCATTACTCCTCTGTTAGAATTTTTATGCTGCTGATCTGAACATGAGATCAGCAGGAAGGAAAAGATGTTTATGTTTCTTTTGGGGCACATGCCCCTGGTTGCTAGACTATGTGAAAAATTAGGTTATTTAATATACTTATGTAATGGATTGAATCTGTTTTCAGAGATGCTGATGATAAACACAAGCTTATAACCAAAACAGAAGCAAAGCAAGAATACCTTCTGAAAGATTGTGATTTAGAAAAAAGAGAACCACCTCTTAAATTTATTGTGAAGAAGAATCCTCATCATGCACAGTGGGGTGACATGAAACTCTACTTAAAACTACAGGTCTCTAACAAGTTGTTTGTGAGTTTTAAATTCTGGTTTAGTTTATGTTTTAGCAATAAACTACTTATAATTAGTTTCCATTTTTGTTTACAGAGTGAAAAGGATATTTTTCCTTTCTTTGTTTTGGAATGTATCAGTTGTATGTAATGGCAGTGTTTTTAGTGGGACTGGGTTAGAATTCAGGGTTTTGCACTTGGAAAGCAGGTGCTCTATTGCTTGAGCCGTGTCTCCAGTCTGTTTTGCTCTGGTTATTTTGGAGATGGGGGTCTCACAACTATTTGCCTCCAACTGCAATCCTCCTGATCTCAGCCTCCCAAGGAGCTAGTATTACAGGGGTGAGCAACCAGTGCCTGGCTGGTTGCTATGGCACATGATGTACAGTTCTGAAACTGAAAATGTTCAGGGAGTCAGACCTCATTCCTCTATTTCCTCCCCTCACTTCTACCCAAAAGAAAAAAAATCTTAAAAGAGAAAAATGTTAGGAAATTTTACTAATGCCTGAAATGTGACTGTACTTGGTAAGTGTCATCTGGAATGCTCACCAGCATATCAGAGTGATCTCAGCTCCTCTTGCTAGGGACTGGTTACAGGTGTGCCACAAGAGTCACTCATGTGGTAGCTGTGCCCAGGTCAGTTGACTAGAGTCACAGGCAGCCTCCCGTATCTGCTCCAGAATGGTTTACATACTATTGTGTTCTCTGTGTGCATTATATCAAAAAGTTGGGAGGCATTGCTTTAGAGCATAGTTTTAGCTGAAATATAGAAAATTCCATACCTTTAAATAAAATTCAGAAACTATATTATAAAATAAAATGTACAGAATTTCATTAAATATAAGACTATCAGAAGATTCACCGTTTATTGTATGTACCATTAAAAATAAGAAAAATGCTAATTAAACTGACCCAGTGGGTTTTTTAATCACTTGGTGCTTTTATACTTACTGAAGGCCTTATTATAGTTATCTTATGTATGTCATACTTGCACACATGTCTAAAAGGAAAATGCAAGTGCAAGAGAATTATTAAGGTATTCCTAGACGTTGTTACACTCAGAGTCCAATTCTTCCATGCTTTTTTTTTTGGAGAGGCTGGGAACTGCACTGAGCTTCATCCTCAGCCTGAGTCCAGTTCTTCTGGCAACTTTTGGTTCTTATTGTTAAAGTCCCATTAGGCACACCGGTGATGCAGTATTGTCAGCAATGTTAAATTGTGGAAAATGCAGTATCTTAGAATTTATGAAATACAAGTGTATTGCTTTATTGTGTCAAGAAATTTGAGTCTGGCTATAATAATTGATATTTTGGTCTCCTTAATATATTGTAAGAAGTATCCTGAGCATAGTTCTTATTGTATATTCTCTTAAAAAAAAAAGAGTAAAGGTAGGGGCTGGTGGAGTGGCTGAAGTGGTAGAGCACCTGCCTAGCAGTGTGAGGCCCTGAGTTCAAATCCCAGTACCACATACACACAAAAAAAAGTTGAGAAAAAGAGTAAAGTATAATCCAAAGTTTTAAAAATAGAGTGAAGACACTTTAGGTAAATTATGTACCAAAGTTTTTTTTTTTTTTTTTGGTCCTGTTCTATAGACCAGAGTCAGTCAGGTAGTGGGGGAGACCAGTGGTTGATCCAGGAGGAGACGAACAGTTGTAACTGGTGATTTTCTTGGTTGGAGATTTTTGGAAATGACCTCATATTCAGATCTGATGTGGCTAATCTTCCACAAACATTTTTGGTGAGTCTGCCAGAATTACCAAGCCTACAGACACACATCCTGCTGTGGATCCCTTGACAGAAGTACAAGAGGACACCTATTTATAGTCTAACTCAGTGCATTTATGATGAGGCTTTCTAGGTTTTGATAGGTGTGTTTTTAGTTTCTTATTAATATTTAAAATATTTTAAATTTCAAGTAAGTATAAATTTGTACTTGTTAGTTCATTCTTTGGTAGCTATGGGCTTGATAACTATAACTTGACAGTATCGAGCAACTCCGAATTGCAACTGACTTAAGTATGGACTATGTTGTAGATTGTGAAGAGGTCTCTTGAAGTTTGGGGTAGTCAGGAGGCACTGGAAGAAGCAAAGGAAGCGAGACAAGAAAACCGAGAAAAAATGAAGCAGAAGAAGTTTGACAAAAAAGTAAAAGGTGAGTGGATACTTTTATATCATGAAGGATAGTGTTTGTCATTAGGTAGAAAGGATTTAGCTAAGGTCTTTCTGCTTAAAAACATAATACTACCAATAGATTGGAAAGTGTTTCTCGAGTTTGGAAAAAATGACTCCAAGTTTGTCTGTCCTAAGTAGGTTGGTTTAGGCATAGTCCAAACCTCTCAACACGCATTTCTAAAAAGCCTGCAAGCTGTCATGCTTACGTGAACTGTGTTTTTGTTTGTGAATGGTGTCTGGATAGGATGGTACCCTGGTCAAGGACTTGGCATCTGAATCTTAAAGTTTGGCATTTGAACTTCAAAGTGATGCACAGTGTTTTGAAAACATAGATGCTCATCAGCACATTTTTCTAATTGCTTAAAATGAAAAATTGTACTCTTGAGTCTTAGTAGCTAGAAGGGACTTTACATTTATGTATTTATTTTTGAGATAGGGTCTCATTAACTTTGCTGGGCTGGCCTTGAACCTAAGATCCTCCTGCCTCTGCCTCCTGGGTGCTGGAACTATCAGCATGTGCCAGCATGCCTGGCTGCAATTAGAAAAGGAACTTTCTGATGTCAGCTAGTATAAGCAGTTTTATTTTATATATGACTAAAAGACCCAGGAAGGTTGAGTGGCTTCTTACATGAGTTGGGACTGGAACCAGATTTTCTTGAGAGAAAGTCTTCATGCCTATGGTCATTCCTCCATCTGTGCATCTATCTTTGCACACAAATCTCTGTTCCTTTGTCTGTGCATTCATTTGTCCATGCATCTGTGCATGTGTGTATGTATCCATAAGGCTGTCCACACATGCATGCATCCATCCACCAACCCATCTGTGCATCCAGTATTTACAAGGCACTGCCCTGGCATGAGTGCGGGAGTGAGTTTGTCAGGAGAGAAATTTCAAACAATAGGGCATTGTAGGAGCACACAGGGTTCTTTCTTCATGCTCTAAGACAACAAAATCCCTGCAGAAGACATAAGGGTCCCTTTTTTTTTTTTGAGAAGCAGGGTCTTGCTATGCAGCAACTTGTGATTCTCCTGCTTCAGCATCCAAATGCTGGGATTACAGGCATATACCACCACACCTGGCAGTAATTATGTAGATTCCCAGCACACACTTTGTGTGTGTGTTGGGCTACATATATATTAAATTAGTGTTCTAGTCATCATAATTTTGCCTGTATTTTTGGGCTTAAAAAAGGTTTTGGAGGGTGACCGCTGTAACTCAGATGTCTTCAAAACAAAGGGAGTGATGGTGTGTGCATGTAGCCCTACTACTCAGGAGGTGGAGGTAAGAGGATTGCAAGTTCAGAGCCAGTCTCAGCTATCTGTGAGACCCTGGCTCAACAAAGGAGCACAAAACCAAAACAATAAGCAAGCAAAAAAACAAAACAAAGAAAAAAGCAAAAACTGAATATAGCTTCCATTTTTTTCTTCTCACTGTGAGGTTTTCCCTCGTTTCCATCGTAAGAGTAACTCAAGAAAAATGTAGAAAAGTTAGAAAACTAGTGTTTATGATTCTACTACCCAGACAGGCCTTAGAAACTCTTTAATGTCCTTCCAGTTCTTTTATATGAATAGACTCTTTAAAATTTTTTAAAAATAAAGATGGTGCTGGACCTTTCTGAAGTTTATCAAGACAATCTCATGTACAACATCTTTTTATACATACTGTTATTGATCAGTGTCTGAATCAGAAAGTAAGCACATTTTTGAGGCTTTGCAGAGGTTTCCTAAAGCAAACTGTGCTGTATGAAGCATTTCTTTGAAGCATCTTCTCCAAATGAGCCACTGCTCTGTCCCAGTAATTCACACATGCCAGCAAGGACTAATTGAGAGGTTTGAAACTTAGCCTTTTCTTTCATCTTTATAGTGTTCTACACCAATCCTTCCTGTCTTCCAGCAGCAAGGAGAGCTGCTGATAAAGAAGAAGTAGTGAAAAGGCACATTAAGCAATCGATTATCTATCAGCCCAAGGTTTCTCTTAAGCCAGCTACCTCAACTCACCTGACTTTCTCTCTTTTGCTGCCTCCTTAAAGCACTTTTCATGATATTTTGGTGCAGACAGTGACACATGGGTAAAAGAAATATTAATTAGAAACTTGATTCTGCAGAGTAATGAAATATTTAAAGGAGGGCTATCTGTAATCATCTTTTGATACTAATTCTCGTGGCTTGGTTAAGAAGTCATCTAATGCTAACTAAATTCCAGTAATTTGACTAACAGAGTAAAAGATTATAGCATCTGTCTCATGCTTTTTTTCTACAAAGATTTTATTAAGAAAAGCATATATATTAAATATAAGTATGAATAGAACCTTTACAAAATATTTCTACAAATTTCAAAACATATACACTTAAAAATAGTTGGCTTTGTTTCTCACTATATTAAATAGGTGCTATTAATCACCAGATAAACTGCTATGGGTTTTCCTCATCCTTGAGTTCAAATTTGGCCTAAAGTTTTTATTTCTTGTTTGAATGAAGCATGCGTTTGAGGAAACTTTTTGTTATGATTACATGAGTGCTGTATTTTCCTTTTCTACCAATAAGAATGTTTTTCATTTTATTGTTTTTGTATATGACTGAGTTCTCTTTGGGTTCAGTGACTGTTACTCCATTCTCTTCTGGTGTTCAATGTGCAGAGAGGTCAATGTGGGTATCTTCTTTAATTGTGGCTTCTTGTTGATTCACTTTAGAGATTGATGGATATGTTCCTGTCCTGACTAGGCCAGAGGGCTGAGTGGAGTAGACTGTAGAGCTTAGGAACCAGGAGCGGACAGTGCAGTTTGCTCAGAAGGCTCAGAACAGAAAGGAATAAAAGGAAGTCTAAAGGTTTTTTAGTTGAAAAGAAATTGGAACCTGGTTCCTCTTGGTCTTCTGATACTGATCCACAAAGAAGCTGATACAGAGTTTACTTCTTTATGGGAAGGTAAGAAATTACATTTAACTGCCTTTAGAATATGATCTACTCTAGCAGTTTGAGAATTGAGTTTATTATAGAAAAAATTAAAGTATAAAAAAAATTAAAGGATAAATAGTATAAAGTGTATGTAAATAGACAAGGTTTGTTAGAGGTCTTAGATCCAAGAAGGCAGATGTAGAAATGGTGGCATTGCTGCTGTTCAGTTTATCAGTACTTCCAGCTTAACTCAGTGCTGGTAGAGGTTCCTTCCGAATGATGGAAAATGCTGCTGCTTCTTACTTTGCATCACTCTTCCTCCTCCCCTCCCCGCCCAAAAAAAAGAGGTAGGTAAGAAAGTCCCAGTTTGAGGTCTCTTAAGTTGGTGGGCATTGTATGTTCTGGGCTTGTGATTCTGTTCCTGGCTTCTCATGAGAGTTTGAGGGACACAAACACAGAGATTTCCTTGTTAACTTGCTCTGGTTCATGGAGTGTAGAATAAGATGAGAGCTTTGCATGCTACTGTGTCTTTCCTTGGAGTCTTGTCCCGTAGGTAACGAGCAGCATCCTGAGTCAGTGCTTCCTGCCTTCCCATCCAGTGTTTATAAGTGTCTGGTCTCCTTCCACAACAGAGGTGATTTCTGCTTTACCGCACTGTTAATAGACACAACGTGAAACACTTCTAATCTTTCTGAAGTGTATTTATTACGTATGTATGTACACATGTAATTTTTGGTGGTACTGGGGTTTGAACTCAGGGCTTAATGCTTGCTAGGCAGGTGCTCTACCACTTGAGTCACTCTGCCAGCCCTTTTTTCAAAATAGGGTCTCTCAAACTGTTTTTCAGGGCTGGCTTCCAACCAAGTTCCTTCTGATCTCTTGACTCCTGAGTAGCTAGGAATACAGGTGTGAGCCACTGGGCACCTAGCTTACTTTTTTCTGGGCCATTTAAGAATAAGTTGTACTTAATACTTAAGTGTATCTTCTAATAGGGATATTCTCTTAACTAATGCAACATTACTAACTTTAGCACATTTAATGTTGATTTAGCATTTTAATCTAATCTGTCAAGCATATTCTAGATTTGTTCATTGATCCAATAATGTCCATTCAGGGCTTCACTTTTACAATGGGATCTAGTCTAGGATCAGATACTGGTTTAGGTACCAAGTCTTTCTAAACTCTGCTGTAGATTTTCATAATACCTATCTTTTTATGACATTGAAACTTTTGAAGTCTCTTTCCTTCTCCTACCCTGCCTTTTAAGAAGTGTTTTTCAGTCTAGAGACATGGCTCAAGTGGTAAGTACCTGTGTTGCAAAGCTGAGCTCAAACCCCAGTAACCGCCCCCCCCCCCCCAAAAAAGGTGTTTCTCAGTTGGGGCTTTTCTGGCATTTCCTGCTGGGTGATGAATGCAGTGTATTATATGTATTTCACGGTAGGGTTATTACATAAGTGATATACCTTTCTAAGGCTTCAGATCTAGAGCACATGACATCCATTTGCTCTAAATGGTAGCAGTTTGATTGATTTGATAAGAAAAAATTTAAGACCATGCAAATATCTTACTTCTCCTGGATTTAGCATCCATCTATTGATGGTTCTTCCTGGAGTCAGCCTTTAGTATGACAAGTTGCAAGAACGTTTTTCTGCCTCCTCCCGCTCTCCCCCCACCATTTACCCAGCTGGCAGTCAGCATTCACAGCATCCTTTCCCCATTCACTTATTATTGTTGTGGATTCCTATTTATTTTACTACTTTTTTCAAAGGGGTTTGGCCCAGTTCTGCCTTTAGTTCTTTTGGTGCCCCAAATTATCTCAGATTTGGTTCAGAGGAAATCTCTCTAAGCTAGCTCTTGTGTTCTTTGTGACCTGTTTTTTGAATACTTCTGCTTTTCAGCACAAAACACATGTATATTTCTGTCTCTTTCTATACATACTCTATAAACCTGAGTTCACACTGATATGTACAGTTCTAATTCAAAATCTCAGATTTCCTTCAGGTTTTCTTCCTTACAACTTTTTTCTTAGAGAGAGAGAGAAAGAGAGAGATCTGGCTGCCATTAGTCTTAATATCATGACTCGATCAAAGCCCCCAGGTGTGACCAATATGCTATCACTGCTGTGCCTCTGGAGGGAGTCCTCCTAACCTGTTTTGGACTGCCACTGGCCTACTATGAACACCTACTTTCTTGCCCCACGTAGGCTTTGGGATTGCTTTGCTCACAAAGGGAGAGAAAGGTATGGAAAAAACAAGCCTGCTGTTAGGCACGTTGAGCATCCTGAAACTGAAAATCCAAAACCTGAAACATTGAGTGCCGACATGATGCCATAGGTGAAACTTCCACACTCGACCCTATGTGACAGTCTGTAGCTAAGACATAGGCACACTGAAAATATTATGCACAATTACCTTTAAGTTTATGAAACATAAATGAATTTTGTTTAGATTTGGGGCCCATCCCTAAGACATCTCATTATGTATATGTAAATATTGCAAAATCCAAAACAGTCTGGTCCAAACCATTCTGGATTTCTAGCACAAACTTTTCTAGTACTGTCTATAATAAATAATAAAGATGTGGCTTTCTATTATGTAGGTTGACAGATTAACAGAGGTGACAAGAAACAGTTACTTGGTGTAAAACCTTAGCTTCAGTTATGGCTGAAGAAAATAAATTTTCTTCCTTACCTCTTCTCCTAAGTATACGTAATACTCAAATGCAGCAGAGAAGTTAGCTTAGCATGATCAGGCTGCAATCAAATTTGGAATGGTTTTCTTGGTGAGGTAGTAAAGTGGCTTCTACATTATCTGAAATGAGGAGGCATCTGTGCAGTTATAGTTAGCATCATTTATTTTTTACTTACAAAGAGCTTTGCATACTGGAGGTATGAAAAAGGCAGTACAGTTTAGTAGTTAGGAATGTGGGCCCAAGCTTGACTGTACCTTTGTATGTTTGGCCTTGGGTAATTTATAACTTCTGCCTTGGTTTTCTGATCTATAAAATGTATGTATGATAGTTGTACTTACCTTAAAAGGTTGTGAAGATTAAATGCACTTGAAGTGCTTACAACAGCGCCTGGAGTACACAGCCCTGTTCACTTTTTACCCTCAGGATATGTTAAGGCTGGAAATACAGCCAAGTAGCATTTTGATACCACTTACTACAGAGCTAAAATGGATTAATGTACATTGATTTTTATGGTTGAAATTATAAAGGACAGCTGTCATACTCTCTTAGATAGTATCACTATCAAAGACTGATGAGCTGGGTTGATCATTGGTGAGAAATGTAAACAAAAATTAGTGTTACTTTTTATTTATTAAATAAAAACTGAGAAGTTGCCAGCTTGCTAATTTCCAGTGAGCATTAAGTGTTTGGTTTCCTGTTCAGGTAAAATGCAATATGCAATGAAAATGACTTAACATCACGGAAGTCAAAAACTCCAAGCACTGGAATAAGATAATCTGTGCCATCTTTGTTCAGTTCCCTACCTGCAAAATAAAATGAAGCAAAATAAAAACTTGACAGTTCTTTCCTGCTCTTAATATTCTGTGGTTCTTATTTGTAGGTTGTCATTTTCAAAGTTATTGGCAACTCCTTTCCTAAAATAATGCTGACAGAGTAAAGTACTTAAGTGGAGTGAGCTTTTTCATGCTCCTGTTCTACTGACCTAACTGGCCTAACTGGGAGTGACTGGAGATGAGAAAGGACTAAGGACAGGCAAACAGACATGCAGAAAGTTGGGGTCTTATTCTTTAAGGCCTTGCTTTTTTACTATTCTTTAATAAAAACCTTGCTTCTAAAGTCTTCTATTCTTTAAAGTCTCTTTCTTTAGACCACTCTGTCCCATGTTTTTTCTTAGTTTTTCTTTAGCATAATCTCAGTCTTTTTTCCTCACCCTTGCAGACAAAACAACAGCAGCCATGTCTAAAACCTACATTAGCATAACTCTTAAAGTCTCAGTCCTTAGATTTGCACTGTCCCATGTTCTCTTCAGCTTTTCTTTAGCCTATGTATAAAGTTCTCGTGCAGAAAGCTGCTCTGGTGGAGACACAGCAGTCAGCTGCGGGTCATTCAGCAGCAATCTCACAAGCAACCCCCAGGCAACCAATCAAAACCCATCAAAAAACCCTCCTGTCCTCCTTTAGCAAGTCTGGTAAACAAGGAGGTGGAGCAGCAGTTCTTGGGGAGGGGCATGACATTGTAACAAGGGAAAGCTGCATTCCTACTTCTCTGAACTTAAACTTAGGAAAAGCAGCTGTGCTGCTTTGTGCACTTTCCTGCTGCTGGGGCTGTGCCAACTCAGCCTGCGATTATTGAGCACTATGCTTATGACAAGTTCTCATAGGCTTCTCATAATCCACTCCCCACACTTAAGTAGACTTGATGTCACTCACATGAGCGGTTTTTCTAAGATGAAAACACATCAACATACAGTGGTAGAGATCTTGGCTTTTTAGTTTCTTGCAAGCAAAATTTGTATTGCTTCTTGTATAAAAGTAGCTCCTGACTTGTAAAGATGGAATTTAAAATATTACTCCTTTTTCTTTTCTCAGCCAAGTCCCCTTTGCCGCTGTGGCATCCTGTTTTCCAATCAGTTGTCCTCAATGCACCTTGTTCTGTTACTTTTTACTTTTTTTGCTATACTTCCAACCCCCATACCCGTTTCTGAATCTGTCATTTCATACCACTCCAGCAATGACTTAAGTGATTTAATAGACCAAGAACATTAGGTAAGAAAAAAAACCTGCGAGTTTGTGTAATCAACTTTGACTCCTGTTGTAAAACTAAAGTAAACCAACCATAGATACTTTAAATGCACAAAATGGCTGAAAGCCTAATTGAGGATTCTGCTGAAAAACTTGTTTTTTCATAGAATTGCGGCGAGCAGTAAGAAGCAGCGTGTGGAAGAGAGAAACAACTGCTCACCAACATGAGTATGGACCAGAAGAAAACTTAGAAGATGACATGTACCGTAAGACCTGTACTGTGTGTGGCCATGAACTGACATATGAAAAAATGTGACATTCAGTTCAGTGACTTTTTTTTAACAGAATTTTATATTTAAATAAAGGAAATTGAGATTGGCTTTGTTCAAAATTCACTATGTGGTCTTCATAGATGAAAGAAACTTTATAAGTAATGCTTCAGTGACAATTATAGATGTCATGGCTTAGGAACAAGTTCCAGTTAAGGTCCAGCTGGTCTGTTGAGAGAAATGTCAGGTGTGTGGGAGATGAATGGTAAGAGCAGGTTCAAAAGTGGCAGGTCACGGCTACACATCGAGGAACAAGAGGCTAACCCTAGTTTGGGGCAGGAGGAAAAGTTTCCAAAGAGGGCTGAAGCTGACTATACTCAACCCAAGAAACGGGGAATGGCAGTATGCTGCTGTACCGCAGTCGGGCCAGGTTTTTAGGAACTACTGTTACCTCTAAGACAACAAAGTGGGAAGCCATTGCTGGGACAAGTGCTGGCTTATTGCAGGAATAAACAAAGAACTGCCAGAGTCTGATCATGTTTTCTTATACCCTAAGGGCCTATTTCTGTAGGGCTTCACACACAGACAGCTCTTCTAAATGCTGGGTCAAAATGGAAAAGTTTTTTTGTTAAAGAAGGTATTAATTCGTTTATCATAAGTACTGCTAAGTGCCATACAGGTATTCTTGTTTAATCCTGGGAGGGAAGACAGCTTGCTTCCATGCTTATTTAGCACTTCTCAGGGAGGGAAGCTCATCCACCACCTCACCTCACCCCAGGCATTTGGCAAGTTTAGCTACTCAGATTTCCCCTCAGTCTTGTCAAAAGGATTACCAAGTAGTTTGACTTCAGGGTCTATATGTCATTATTTTGACAAAAAATTCAAGTTGAGATAAACTGGACATTTTCAAGTTATTGTTTGACATGAATTTGTATCCACTGCTCCAGACAGAAGAAATAGAAGTTTGTGCATTTTCATCTTCTCTTGAGACCAGCTGTTGGAGATTATACTTGGAAAAAGGCCAGATTGAAAACAAGTCAAATCCAAGTTAGGTCTTGGGACTATAATTCCTAATTGTTCTTTATAGACATACTCAACACAGAAATATTCAGTGTAGTTTTCAAGTACTGATTTTTTTTTGTATGTGCTATGCTAAACATCACAGCTAAGTAAAAATAGATTCTGAATGGGCAGCTAGATTCTATGTGAGGAAAAAGGTCCTAGCCTGATGACGAGTCACTGGGGGTTCAGGCTGTGGCTGAGAGCACTGTTACATTGTGGGGGTTAAGGAGCTCTTGAGCCACATGTTTTGAAGTTTAAATTCTACTTCCTGGCTATGGACCCTGAGCAAACTTCTCCATGGGCTTGTCTATCTGTCAAGTGGGCATAATCATCTCAGAGGACTGTTGTAAAGATTTAATATGATGAATCTTTAATAGCAATTAGATACTGAGCACTTATTATCAAGGCTGATATAGAGATTTGTCTAGTTGAGGTGTTTCTATTCATTCTTTATCTTAATCAATGAAGATAATCCCAGTATACCGATACCACTGACAGCTAAATCCACTCTGCCGGGTTGGCAAGGCTTCTTTTTATCCTTCATTTTCACAGATCAGGAAAAGAGCACATGTTCACTTTGACAAAAGCATGTTAAATGGCATCAGTACCACTTAGCAGAATTTACTGTATGGTATGATGTACACACTGCCCTTTTGTCTTGTGTGAACCTCACTAGTGGGGAGAGGAACTGTTGAATGTTTGCTCTTGTATCTTTCCTTCTTCAAAATTCAATACCTATTCCAGTTTTTCTATACAACTGCCTGACTGGGCAGAGCAGGGTCACAATCAACCATTACCTATGAAGAGAGGATCAAGAGAAAGGAAATGAAAACCTGTAAATTTCTCTAAAAAGATGATTAATAATTAGCCAGACTTTGTGCCTTGTGAAAAGATTACAAAGCAGTTTAAGGTCAAAGTTACCAATGCCTTAATTAGTTACACTTTGGCTTCTTGAGGGAAAGGAGCCATTTCAAATTAGTCACATGGTGTTCTATGTTTAAGTGATGGGATAGAGGAGCAGGTGTAAGTAAGGGAATATTGAGCCTAGAACCTGCCATACAACCCTGACCTACTGAGTACTTATTTCTTGCCTTAAATTTTATGGGACCTTTAAAATTCTAAGAATTCCCATCTATTGAGTGGATTATTTGAGTGACCATTAAAATGTATAGTAACCTAATGAGACCATATAGCCAAACAAGGAAAATGCTTAATACATCATAAACTTAGGTAATAAAAAAGATACCTATGTTGTATAAATGCACAAAAATACTACCAATAACTAGAATTATTATTAGTTTTCCTAAGGTTTAATGAAGTGTAAAAATCCTAGAAATTTGGAATGTGAGGTAATTCATTATACTTAAGTATTATTTTTACAAAACGCTCTCATTTTATTTAAGCCTCAATACCATACAGGAAATAGGCTCAGGAATTAGTTACTGAACCAGGATTCATACAGAAAAACCCAAACCCACATCTAATTCCAAGTGCAGTTTTAGTCAATCTATCTCCTTGCAGTTCCTCATGAGCATGACCTTTGTATAGAGTTTGGACAAATCTTCTGAGGCTATAGGAAATGACCAGATGTCCTATGACAGTGGTTCCCAAAGTGGAATCTTCTGGGGAGGCTGAAGAACTGATGGTGTCTGTATTCTACCTCCAGACACACGGCTTAAGTTTTAAAATAACTTTAGAGATTCCAGGTGATCTGTATTCAGACAAACTTAGGAATCAGTATTCTAAATAGTAACACTTTTTTTGCCGTACTGGGGCTTGAACTCAGGGCCACTCCGCCAGGCCTATTTTTGTGAAAGGTTTTTCAAGATAGGGTCTCGTGGAACTATTTGTCCGGGCTGGCTTTGAACCTCGATCCTCCTGATACCTGCCTCCTGAGTAGCTAGGATTACATGTGTGAGCCACCAGCTCCCGGCTAGTAACACTTTTATATACTAAGAAGTATTATCTTAAGGTACTACTTAAAAATATTTAGAAGAAAACACTTTCAAGTGCAGGTAAGTATACCTTCAGCAAGAAATCACCAATTTTAAAATAGATTAAGATAATAAATCATGAAATACCAAAGTTTACAAAATATAGTTTTAGTTTTATTTTACCCATTTTAGGTTATCCAGGAGCTGTGAAAAAGCTATGCTACCTGGTAATAAACCCATCAGTTCTATTTACTACCTTGCAAGCTTGACCTCTAGTGTTTCACATATCTCAAACTGGTGGTTTTGTGCCTTAAAGAGAAAAAATATCAAACTGATCACAAAAATGTTGTATCTGTCACATATATAATACATCATGGTCATTGTCACATTATAGTCATTAAGAAATATTTGCTATTTAGGGGCAAGGCAGGGTAATGCCATATTCCTCACTGTCCTCTTCCCCTTTCTTCCTTTAAGAAGTAAAAGTTTACAAAGAAAGCAAGCATTCAAAACAAACAAAAAAAGGAAACAAATTATTTTAAGATACTTAAAAAAAACAGTCTTGACATATGGGAGATAAAGTGATCCTTAGGCCTGCAGAGCACAGAACTGCTGGAACACAGCCAGGATATGAGGGTCTAACTCAGCAGTGAAGAGAAGGTTCTCCAGGGTCACCATATACTGCTGGATTATCTGGTGATGCTGCAGACAAAGAAAAGGATGTTAGGTCAGGAAAAGTCATGTAAGCAATCTTGTAGGACATTTCCTTGGGCAGCCTGTGGAAGAGGTAGGAAAAAAGTAGTTTATTCCTGCTGACAAGAATAATTGGCTCCTGAAAAGCCCCAACATTAAGAAAATGCAGAGGCAAATGGGAAAAGGGGAATATTCAATAACTCACCTGATTGTGGCTACTACTACTACAGAGTAGCTTCAGCTCCTTCTCCCTGCTAAGTAGGACATAATTTATGATGACTTTTTAAAAAGTAATCCAAACAGGGACTGAGCTAGGAAGCCAAAATGTGTCTGAAATTCAAAGAAGCTCTTCTATGTGCTGTAGGGTAGACTAAAATATACTCAGAGACTCGCAGGAGACTAGGGGCTGCTAAAGCTTTTCAACTGGCAGGAATGAAAAAAATGTAGAGGGAATTCCCATTTGGAGGCTTAAAGAATTGAAGTATTTTTAGAAAAATCTTCTGCATTAATCACTTTTCTAGAACAAATGACTTTAGGAGGCTAGTATCTGAAGAGAAAGAATTGCTTCACTCTCCTGTACATCTTTAACTTATATGTAGCTGAGAGCAGGAGCTGGCATTTTTTTTTTTTTGGGTAGTCCTGGGACATGAACTCAAGACTTCCCACTTGCAAAGCAGGCTGTAAACTGCTTGAGCCACACCTCCAGTACATTTTACTCTGGTTATTTTGGAGATGGGGTCTTGTGAACTATTTGCTGGGGCTGGCCTCAAACCTCCATCCTCTCTATCTCAGCCTCCCAAGTAGCTAGGATTGCAGAGATGAGCCACCAGTGCCTGGCTAGCATTCTGCTTTTACAGAGACCTCAGAAAGCTTACCTTGGCTTTTGTGAGCAGTGACATTTTAAAGAACTTTTATAAATTCAAATACTGTTCCTTAGCATTTTTCTCTACAATTTATAGTTGGGCTTCCTACTATAGAAAATTGCAATTACAAGTTGAGTAATATAAAACTAATTTAAGCCTCAAGGCTCTGGTGAGAATACTAGCAGCAAATGGACAGGAACTAAAGGGCCTGAAAGGAACTACATAACCTTCTGGACTTTTTTGTAGTGCTGGAGATCAAAACCAAGCCTCAGGAATGCTAGTGCTTTACCACTGAGCTACATCCCAGTCTAACAAGGAATTTTTTTTTTTTTTTTTAATGGAAAACCTTTGTGTCTTGAGAACAGTAGTGTTTATCATCTACTCAAATCTCTTCACAAACCTGTAGGAAGATCTGCTGGAGCCTCTCTATACAGTTCTTATACCACGGCGTTAATATACTGGTCCCATCAGTTTCACATCGTACCAAGTGCTCAGTCAAGATCATGATAAAACGCTGGAAAGGATGAATGAAGTTGAAGTATTAGATGGAGAATCTTCTACTTCAGAAACAAACTCATAATAAAGAGCCCTCAGAGTATTGCCTGCATCACCAAGACTATGGCGTGTGCCTAATTTTCATGATGCACCGAAATACTGTCAATCTAAAAAGGAAGACTGGTAATAATGTGAACTGGTACATCCTTTTTTGGAAATACATACAGACTTTTAATGTCTAAATTATCTATCCTAGTAATACTACTTTATTTTAAGGAAATAACATGTCAACAGGAATCTATACACAAAATTTCCATATGTATGATAACAGTTATCTAAATCACCAGCAATAGGGAACAGTTAAGCATAAGATAGGTATTTAAACACTAAGTAAATAGTACAGAGCTCAGAGGTGTAGGTGGTGGCCTCCATGAGGTGAGCTTGTATTTGCTATGAATACTGATATAAATCTGTAATCCCAGCATTTGGGAGACTGAGGCAGGAGGATCACCAGTTCAAGGCCACCCTGGGGTAAAAAGTGAGAACCTATCTCAACAACAATGAGAACAATACCCCAAAGCAAAAAAGTAATAACTGGAAAAAAAAAAAAACCAAAGTAAAAACAAACTCCAGAAAAATTATAAATAAAAAAACGCACTGATTTTTTTACATGTCAAGGAACTGCAAGTTACCTGGAATATGACGAGGAAGAGGTTCTTTTGCTCACTCTGAGCAGACTCCACTTTTTCCTGGAGTCTTTCTATTTGTTCCTCAAGGGCCCCATCTTTCCTGTCACTGCTTCTGTCATCATCATCACTTCGCTGCAGAAGGCACAGGAACCAAAGGAGAACACTTAGAAATCCATCAAAGAAGGGGAAGGATTTTACTGTGACTAGTCAAATGCTATTTAAAGATGTATATTCTTACAGTGAAATGCCTTCCCCCTCCCCACTTTCCAGATCCTGTTGTGGTTTAGAAACAGGGTCTTCGTACTCAGAAGTTTCATAGATGCTTGCTAGGCTGGGGATAGTGAGCGGAACTTGTCTTGGTAACAGCAATGGGATGTGGATATCACTGCTTGACCACTTGTGTAGTTGTAAAAGGAGGCACCTTGCTAGTCTTTCATCACCTAATGATTTACATGGGAAGGTGGGCAGGTCCTCATGCAGCTCGCAGCTCACAGCCCAGTTGTTCACCTTTATCATAATTAGAAATGGCTTTGACTGGCAAGTAATAATCCAAAGCATACTGTTCAAGAGCAAAAAAAAGATGGGCTTAGTACACCCCTGTAAAGTTTTAATTCCCTTCCATCTCACCCTGAAAAGCATATAGCGTTTGTTTAACTTTAAAAAAAAAAAAAAGACTAAAATGCATGCTTTATCTCCATTTTACAGACAAGGGAAAGGCTGAGGTTAGATGACTTAGCTGCACCTGGCTCTTTCAGCAAGAAGGCGAGAGAGTCACTGAAGCAAAGCCTGGTAATCCTTCTAGATACTACTATTTTGCTATGGCCCATCTGTGTACCACAGCACCTGATATGGGGTCTCTTTATGTTCTAAGTAGCTGAGCAGATGGTGCCTGGAACCTTACCCATACTAAGGTAAGTTTCCAGAGTGCCACGCCCAACAGATCTTTCTGCCATAAGAGAAATGTTATATGATTCTATGCTGCCCATGACAACAGCCACCAACTACATGGATTTCCTGAATACTTGAAATATGACTAGTGTGATTAAGGAAACTGAATTTTCAATTGTTATTTAGATAATTTTAAATTCAACAGTCACATATGACTAGTGGCTACCATATTAGCATATTTCTAGAAAGCAGTGTGGCACATGAGAAAGTCTCCAGAGTGTGACAGACCTTGGTCAGAACCTAGCTCTGTCACTAGCTATGTAATATTGAGCCTGTTATGTTACTTCTCTGAGCCTCAACTTACACATCTATCAAATGGAATGGCACCATTTACCATAAAGTATTTTAGGTTTGTGAGAGTGCATGATCATTGACATAAGTGTTTATTAATGTCTGAACAGGGACCTGCACTTAAACTTGCTATGTAGCACAGACTGGCTTGGAACTTTCAATCCTCCTGCTTTAGTCTCCCCAGTGTTGGGATTACAGGTGAGTACCACCATGCACAGCTAAGTCATTGACCTTGTTATGTCCCCCTCCCCCCAACCACCTTCTATTCTCCTAAATATGCCTAATAACAGAAAATACTGTCACAGAGTATCAATACTATTACACTTAGTCACAGAATGCAGCCAGATCACAGCTTCCCTCTAGGCTACTAAATAACTTATTACCATGAGAAGTACTTGGGGCTTGGGAGTGACTGTCCCATCCCATCTGTTCCCCACAGCACTGGAGATGTAACAAGCACCTTTTATCTTCTCCCTTCCCCCTTCACCAGAGACTCAGAAATAAAACTGACCTCTTAAAGGAAGCCAACCAAGAGACAGAGGTGATGAACTAGAGAAAAGTGGCTTGTACTGTGCAGTGTAAGAGCACACAACAGGGCCTGGGGATACAGCTTAGAGGTTAAGTGTTTCCCTAGCATGCACAAGGCCCTAAGTTTGATCCCCAGTACCACAAAAAAAAAAAAAAAAAAAAAAAAAAAAAAAATCACACAACAGACTACCTGTTCTTCCTTCCTCTGCTTCTGCAAACAGCTCTGTAGAACTTGGCCTCAGAAACAAATCACCATCAAAGCAGTAGATTTTAACTATTCTCCAGAGTTTCTGAAATCGACACAAGACTTACCCGTTTGTGTTGCCTTGCCAGTTTCTCTTTAGCTTCTTCTAGCTCCTTCTGGATCTTCAGAACATGCTTGTTCATCTTACGAATTGTAGAGTG